TTTGTTTGTTTGCCCGTTGTACATTAATTGTGTGACTTCCCTACCTCTTATACAACCGTGTACATATGAACTTAAGGCATGCAGCGGACACGGACGAAGAGTCGACGGGGGAGCCTAGTTCGGAGAGTGATGCCGACGGTGAAGAAGGCGCTGGATCGAACAAACAGGAACAGAACGCGGATCTTCCAGCAGAATACTGGCAAATTGGCAAATTGGTTAAATATTTGAAGGTGAGTTGTCAAAAAAATAGTAGCATATCCGCTTTTCCATCTTCCCTTGAAAACTTTTTTCGCCACCAGGACCTGTAATTTACTTAAATTTGTCACCCTGCAAGTGAATAACGGGAAAATTGTTTTGTTATAATTTGACCTTCATACTTTTGGTTTTCGCCGCCAGTATTCCGCAAATTAACCACAGTGGACAACTTTAAGATATTTTATCTTGAAAAAATGATTTCTTGTCGAGTAATACTGGAAGACCCCAGGAAATACTCAAGTCTTTCCAATTCAAGCGATTTTGATTTCCTTCCGCCTGAGGAAATTGGGAGCAGCTAATAAGTTTGCTAAAAGGCCTACTTTAACATAATCAGTAAACCTGTTATATCCTATCAAATTATTTGTCAGTTCGTTTTCTAGCGTTTGAGATTTTAGCAGATATTTTATATCCAATGATCCTTTGAGTTTCCCCTCAAATTTGCTATTTCTTCCGTCTTCTAAGGGTGGCAACCAAACCTCCACAATCATTTCCCTGTGTGCTCTTCGCGACATGCCATTGAGGACAGAAGTTTGCCAACTGGCGGTTCGTGATGTTGGCGGCGTCGATGTTTTGATTAATCTCCTTGAAACAGATGAAGTTCGATGCAAGGTAATGCGATTTGTGCCAGTTGACGTATTTATATTAGTCGACTGTTCTGAGCTTATATACTTTTCTGTATTCTTTGACATAATCTTTAAGTTTTTTTCGGTGCTAATTCACAGGTCCTGTATATTTTTGCGCCGTAATTCATGATGAGATCTTGAGAAGCTGGCTTCTCGAAAGCTTTTTCGACGAAGCATTATGACTGGAATGGCCTTTTAGGTCATTCGTCTGATGATGGGTCATAAATAGCGCAAAAGGCCGAAGCAGTCCCTATGTAGTTGTCGTAGTACACTTCCGGTATTGACTGCTATCCGTTAAGTAACAGTCTTCCGAAATGCAACCATGACATTTAATTATGCTAGTGGAGCATTTCCTCGTCTTTGAGCGACCGCCTTATATTCAGATTTAGATCATCCTTTGTCAAGGATGAAATAAGTATTGATGGCCAAAAGGTCAGCAATAGTGATTCAAGTGAACTTACTTCTTCAGCACGAATGAACGTTTTACTTTTATTTGCTCATTAGGACAGAATATATAGACAGGTGAATTCTCGAAAGCAGTAAATATTTAATGTGCAGGTGAATCAACCAGCCGACCTCCTGAAATGTTTCCTTAGTATATGTTTTGGTTGAATAATGTTTCTATAGGCCATTTTGTCCAGTTCCATATGCCCTGATGAGGCATAAGCGATTATGTGATACTCTGGACTCCAACAAGGCACGGTAATGATTCCTAGTATCGTTAATACACAAAACAATACACACTAC